CCCCGCACCCCCCCCCCTCACGTGTGATATCCCCAGCTCCACCACGCCCTGCAGGCTCATGTGCGCGCTGACGTCCACGTCGTGGGCGGGGTCGGTGTAGGCGAACCAGAACCTGGGGGCCAGCACGCTGCTGCGGGCGCGCACCTCGACGCCGCGCTTGAGCAGATACTCGATGGGACCCACGGGCTCGCGCCTGGGCATGGGGCAGGGCGTGTTGACACGTGTGTTGGTTTTGATGTGGGTGGCGTGCACGCACGTGCATGTGTGTATCGCGCCGCGTGTGTGTGTTTGTGTGTGCGTGTGCATCTCTTTGCAGGGGGTAGGGGGTGAAGCGGGAACGGGCTGAGTGCAGGGGCGTCAGGGGCGGCACATCCGAGCGCAAAGTAACGCAGCAAGCACCCTTTCCCGCTGGTTGCCCGAGCCTTCTCGTTCCCCCATACACACACACACACACACAAACACACGCACAGAGCACAGCACAAAGCTTATGTGCAGCAGCGATCTTTGGCGGGCGCCCACCCACCAGGCGGCGCTGTGCTTGACGCCCCTCCAGGGGCCGCAGTCTGCGCAGTCTGTCCCCAGGTCGCAGCGCACCCAGGCCTCGTTCCCCGCGCTCATGTTGTGGGGCTGCCGGCCGTCGTCGCACACGCCGTCACGGGCCTGCTGGGCGGCAGGACGGCGTCAGGGAGAACCCAGTCACGAGCAAGGTCCCAAACAAAATGCTTGCTGACCAAAGCACCCCAGGGGTGCAGGGTTTCAATAACAAGAGTTTGCTGATGCCTGGAGCAAGACGATCCCACCGCTATCGTTGCTACAGTGCGCACACTGGCACCAGCCTTGCCCCGGCCTTGCCCTGGCCGATCCAGAGCCCTCTGCCAGGGCGGGGGCGCGCCTTGAAGCACGTGTCCTCGCAGATCGACGGCTTCCGGCTGGCCAGCATCGCGGCCGCCCGCTTCGCTGCTGCCCGCCGCAGCTGGTCTGCGGCCGCCAGCTTCGCCACAGCTTCTGGCTGCATGGGCTGGGGCGGTTCCAGCAGGTCGCGCTGCGCACCGCTGCTGGCGCCCTGCATCGCCAGGCAGCAGAAGACTGCAGGCAGCACTCACAGGGGTCAGGGGTGGGCGTGGGGGGGAGCACACGTCATAGCAGGTCACGCGGCAGCAGCACGCAGTTTTTCTTCAGAGATGCGCAACGTTGCTGCTGCTGCTTCCGTTGCCGCCAAAGCAACTGCTCCAGCCACTGCCATCACTGCTGCTGCTGCTGCCGCTGCTGTTGCTGCTAGCTAATGCTGTTGCTGCTAGCAAGAGCGCCCGCCTGCCTGCCCTGTTGCGAATGCAACAAAGCACAAAACCTCGAAAAAGGTTCCTCTCCAGGGGAGCGCTCCCCCTTCAAGTCGACGCACCCAGCGCTCCTCCCAAAGCCACGTAGAATAGCGCCGCAGCAACTGGAAGCCCAAAACAACAGCGCCCGCTGCCGCTACCGCCGCCGTTGAGTCCAGCCCCGCCGCCGCTCGAGCCATTGGCCAGGGCGCGCACGAGCACGTGGGGTCCGCGGCGCTTTGGCCCAGGCTTTGCGGACAGCGGCAGCTGTGGATCCATATTGTTGCAACACAACGCCCCCCAGTTCAAACGGCTGCTGCGGCTGTCTGCTGTCCGCTGACTGCCGGGCGACGTGGCCCGCCCTGTTATGATCAGGTGCTTGATCTATCACTGGCGGCTGGCCGTTGCGGCAGCTGTGCGCGCATCGCCGCTGGTGGAGTGCACTGACCAGCACGAGGTGGGGCTGGCGCAACAGAACGACGCCAGTGCGCGCTCTCACGGAGTCGACAGGAAGGACGGCAGCACAAAGGCCATCGTTTTCCCTTTACGCACAAACCTAAATAGTTTTTTCGAGCGACAAGGTGGTTTGATTCAACCAAGTGGAGCACGTGGTAGCAGTATATGAACGGCTGATAAACGCATATTATCAACCATTGAACAGCTCCGTCACGGGCGATCGATGTCCTGTTCAGGTGGCGGGCACACCCAGTGCCACGGCAGGTGATCTGACGTGATCAACGAGGAACGAGCAAATCAAGGAGATCGGGCTCCACCAACAGTTCGATTTTCTCGGAACCATGGCGCTCTCTCAGCGCTGCACGCTGCCGCAGGGCGTGGCCAGGGCCTCGGCTTTCAAGGCCGTCCCCATTCTGCAGGCCCGGTGCACTCGTCCGCACGCTGGAAGCTGCCCGTTCCCCGTCAGCAGGACTAATGTGCTCTCCAAGCCGGCCCCCCTGCCGGCCAGGCCCTCGGCACGGGTCTCGCGACTGAACGTCCGCGCGGCAGCCAGCGGGGCTGCTGCCACCCCCGCCAAGCCCTTCAAGTGGTAGGCAGAAAACTGACCGACCCCGCCATCTTGACCGCTTGGTCACCGGACAAGGTTTCGGTGACGGCGCGCCAGCACAGATCTGACTGGGCGCGCTCGTGGCGCACGCGGCGCGTTTTCCAGAGTACGGCAACGCGCGCCCGTTGATCGCGCCCTCGCGCCCGCCCTCACTCGTTCAAGGGGCGCGGACATGAAGAACCTGGCCATCTGCATCGGCGTCGGCGCGGCGCTCGCGCTGGCGCCCCCGCCTGCGGGCGTGACGGTCAAGGCATGGAACCTGCTCGCGATCTTCACGGGTGCGCACGCGGTGTGCGCGGGCCCCACGAGCAAGAAGAGCAACCCCGGCTCGCAGCGCACGACACCGGCGCCACTGGCCGGCTCTGCGTGCGGCCTGCATCCGCTCGTGCCGGCTGGACTTCCCTGCCTCGAGCAGGCCCGCACCATCAGCCCCGCGGAGCAGCGCCCACAGCAAGCTGCAGCTCGGCACCTCACGCAATCTCGCGCGCCGCGCCGCGCCTCGCCGCCGCAGGCACGATTGTGGGCATCATCACCACCCCCCTGCCCCTGGGCGCGGTGGCGGTGCTGGGCCTGGGCGTGTCGATGCTGACCAAGACCCTCACCTTTGCCGAGGCCTTCAGCGCCTTCGCCACCGAGATCCCGTGAGCGCCGCCAGACATGGCACGCACAGATCCTTGGGCTGCGGGCGGGGCAGGGGCGGGGGGCCAGGCCGGCTGGCGGGCGCCGGCCGGCTGCGGAGGGGCAGTGGGGACAGTGCTCTGCCTGCTCTACGCATTCCGCAGGGTCTACCTTGCGTGGACCGCACGCAGCTGTGACGCGCGGGGTGGCTTGCGCCACAGAGTGGTCGGCGCACTTGCGGAGAGGCGCCCCGCAGATGACCTGGGCAGCCCCCCCCCCCACCACACACACACCCCGAGCCCTGCCGCAACCCACACGTCCGCACGGGCCCCTTGTTTCCCCCCCTTCCAGGTGGCTGATCGCCATCGCTTACTGGCTGGCGGGCGGCTTCATCAAGTCGGGGTGCGCCTGGGGGTTTGGCCCACCTGAAAATGGGAGAAATGGGCCAAGGGAGCACGCCGGCAGGCCGGGCACACCATCGTCGCCCTGCTCAACGCCATCCCTCCCTCCC